AAAAAAAAAAACCTATTATTTAGTTAATGGAGTCTTCTGACACCCGAAATCTTCATTTGTCGTTGTCGTTTGGCAGGCGACGTCCCGGGTCATATAGTTCTGCCAGGGGACACCACATTGCGGCCTTTCCATTCGCCTTATTTTTCGTTCTAGCTGTAGGAATTTTAATTCTTTCAGTCTTCATCTTTTCTTTTTCGTATAAGCTAGTTAGACATAGAATATATTATCACGTTTTCTCCTCATCATTACTTCCAGTTTAATTTCAATATTCGTTACTTTTTACTAGTATTTTAAAAAGGTCTCTTAGCTAGCAAAGTACTGTATCTTTCTCTCCTTTCACTTCATGTGCGTCTTTTTCGACTACCTATAATTTATTTTTCGTCCTTTTTACATTTTCTTAAAGTACTTTGAACGTAGATTGCATAACCAGAAAGAAAGTTAGACATTTAACAGAGTTATGCAGCAAAACTGTTAAACAGTATGTGTAATAAATTCTGTTTACTCTCATATTTTATCTAAAATCTCGGCTGAAAATGCAAATTAAATTATGAAATTGTAAACAGAAACATATAAAACCTTAACAGACAAAATACAATAACTTCAACTTTATTTACACAAGTTGCTTAGAAAATTAGCTTGCTTTTACGCAGATCACCCGGATAATCTCCGGACGTCTAAGTAATGCACAGTAACATTGTGCCAAAACCTCTGAAATCTAGCCATAATGATATTTCGCTACTAAAAAATTTCACACCAAGGTGGGATTGAATTGCCCTATGTATAGGCGTCGTCATTTCCAATTTGGTGCGAAAATTTTTGCGACCAGAGAAGCACTCTTCTGGAGAAACTTTAACGGTTTTGGCTCAATACTACTGTGTATTAAAAAAGCAGCCAGGGGTTATCCAATTTACTTCTGTAGAGGTGTCTTAAACTGTTACTTTAGTTGTGTGCACGATATGGTATCAGTGTCACTTTGTTTAATGATGTTCACTTTTTTCTTCCAAATTTCTCTCCTTTTGGTTCACTTTCTGCAGAGATATTGCCGGATATGTCCGAGGACTTCTATTTTTAAATGTTACTTTGAAACTTATTAACTTGTAATTTTGTTCGTATTAACGAAAATTTTTTACTTTTTGTTGTTGTAAGGGAGGGGTGTGGTAGATAATAAATATCTAAAAAACAATGGGGGTTGTCGAGCAGTAATATAGAAAAAACGCTTTGAATGAAATGACTAAAAAAATGCGACTTTTTAATGAATAAAAAAGTTTTAAGAAACTTGTTGTAGGGATAATATTGGGGAAGGGGAAGGAAAAGAGGAAGGAAAGGGAACGTAGTTGTCATGCAGGTTTTTAATATCAAAATCCTAATACAGCAATGACTTAGTACTAACCATTTTTCTGAAAGTAATCTTATTGTTCTTGGTAGAACTAGTTACCGCACTATTGTAGTAATGTTGCATCATGAATATATAGCTTATTGTGCATTATATATTATATTTATCATATATAATATTTCATGAGTTATTTTATGCTAAAAGTTGCGAAATTTGCCAGGTTGCCACTTGACGCACCTACCTTTGCAGACTTATAATTTGCTCGTTTTAAGTTGAGTTTAATACTTTTTTGACCATTAGATTTGCCATTCCTGAACTTTGGAATGCCTATTTATTTTTCCAGTTCTATTAAAAAATCGCATAAACACAATAAAAACAAAATTTCAAACAAAAAAAAAAAAACGATATTTCAAATTTTTTAAAAACATATATTTTGTGCAAATTCTGCTCTCTTTTTTGTTTCTTAACAGAATTAAAAAAAAAAATATGCATTTAAAAGCTCAGGAATGGTGAATCTAATGATCAAAAAAGCATTAAATTCA